CAACAATTAAATTAACTGATTAGACTTGGTTAAAATACAAGAGAGTTATTTCAGATTGTGTAATAACGGCAAATGCATTCACGAACTTATCTACTGGCTTAGTACAGTAAATGATTTGGTTTGTATTGATCCCCAACTAATAAAATTTTTTTTTCACTTATAATCTAGCCCTATATAAGTTAGTTATAAGTAGTCATAGCAAAAGTCCACTGTTACATAATTAATGTAATGCTATTATATGTGATTATAGATTTAGAGAAGTAAATATTTTTAGCACTAGGAAAGCTCTATGAAATGGTCGGTCACTTTGCGTAAGTGTAACTTCGAGAATAATGTTTTAGGAGGGGACAGTTTGACTAACCCCTTGCCTTTTTTTCAACTTCAAAACTTCTGGAGCTCGCTAAAGACGAAACATCTTACTAGTAACGATCAAGAAGTGTTTTAACCAAGTATCAGCTTAACACTGTAAACATGCGTAGAATATGAACACACGTGGAATATATGAAGAAATTTGATTTATTCATTAGGTGATAAAAAATGTTAATTTATGGTTATAGTAAAAAGGTACGTACATTATAAATAAGGAAATTTAATTTATTAACCACTTCACACAAATAATTAAACTAAGAAAACAGAATATAAGAAACTTCTGTGTAAGATTTTTTGTTACAAGTTTCTGAAGAATACTAAATGAGGAAAATAGTTTTGGTAAATGTTAATTGTAATATTTTTGTTAATTGAAACCGTAGTTATCATTTTAAAACATTGTTTTTGGTTCACGAATTGTAGAAAGATTTTTCGACAGCTTAATGTATTTATATAGATAAAATAAAAATAAAACAATAGTATGTCTGGAGGACAATTACTTTTTGTGTCCATTAATCGAATCACGTATTATATAGTGAATACTCTTGATTTACAAAAAACAACATTTATGACTTTAAAAGAAACCACTTAGAGAACATGTTAAACTTGAATACAACAAGCTGCAACATTTCCTTGTAAAATCTCTTATAGTTTATTGTTCCAGGCAATTAACAACAAACCTAATTAACACTTACATAAACTCGGCTTTAGAACATTTCCTTCTCTTTACCCCGTTATGACCCAACTAATGCTAACACATCTACAGTTTACAACTATTTACGTTAAGACCATCGTAAATGAATCAGATACCTTATTATTTAAATTGACTTCATCTAGAAATTTAAATAAAGAAAGCTAAGGATTGAAAATTAGTAAATTAGTAAGGATGAAAAATAACCACTTAAAAAAATTAACATATTTTTCTTGAAGTGACAAGTTTCGGACTTAAAACCAAAAAATGAGAAAACTAGATTTCATCGTAGGTATGCAATTTTGGTTGCTAGTAAAGTTAGTGTTTTTTTTTATTTATGATTATGATGGATTTGAAAAAAAATAATACATTTGTGAAGGATTTAAAATGTAGTAAAAAATATTTATGTCTTTGGATTCCAATAAACGAAGGGGTTTATTGAGGAGTATTGAGTCTAAAACTAAATGAAAAAAAAGTAAGCTTAAACACCTAGAAAGACGTTTAATATAAATTAATGTTTTACAAAGCAAACTGCACATTTAAAGGTTTTAATTTTATCATGTGGGGAGGTATTGTATTATGTATTAAAAAAACACCGACGATTGTGAGTGGTTCAAGACATTCAATTAACCTAGATTCTTGTAATAAAAACTAGTCCCTCTATTAAAAAAACTAGCCAAGACATAAAAATAAATTTAGTAAAGAATTTAAATTATTGTAATTTATAGTACTTTATCCATTCAGCCAAAACAGAGGCTTGTCTAGACTTAGGCCTACATCCTCTTAGATTTTATAGTTCTACAAAATATGGATGTTTTTTTATCGATACAAATTACTGCCCGAAAGGAATATTAAAATATACATATTATAACAAACAAAAGTTATCTACTTGGCAATTTAACTTACTTTAGATCAATTTATTACAAATCCACAAACGCTGAAAAATTAAACTGAATTGGCAATAGGCCTTCAGTTTAGTGGGTAACATTTTAAATGGGACAGTCATTTAATTATAAACCATTAATACTAAGAATTTGGAAGATTCAAAGTGAGCTGAATCTTCTAGCGTTTGAAATAAACATCTACAGCCAGGTGTAAGCGTGGCAGAGATGGTCAAGATGTGCTACTGAGTGTGTATAAATGTTTCAGCAAGTGAGATCATCTCTCTCCCACCCCTACTCACCACCCCTTCATGTAGAACCTTGCTGCAACAGTAAAGCTGTCACAATAATGCTGTTTAGATATTCCATCGACTTGAAATGCTGAAGTAAACATCTTATATGTATATATATGCCCCTTGTAACCAAGTTTCGTTTGTTCAAGTAAAAATGTTATTTGATCAAACACAGAGCGTACTTGTCATATTTTATTTTCTTCCTTATTTTACCAGAAACGAAACGTTGATGCGACATAAAAGTTGATATAGTTTGCAATTTTCACTCCTTTGTCATGGTTAAAAATTTGCGAATCCGACAGAAATTATCTACTGACAGTTCCATCCTCTGTAGAGCTTCTAAAATTGTCCATGCATTTAATATGGAAATAGAATGTCCACTTATGTAAATTGTCACTGAATAAGGAACAATGTAAAATCAAGGTTTTAATAAAATTATAAAAATATTTAAGAGTGTTTAAGATCGAGGTGTCTGAATTGTCCCTAAATCCTAGTTAATTTTCTTACAATTTCTTCAAATGTTTTGTTTAAAAATATTCCACTCAAAGGTAGTTAAAGATATATCGAAAAAAATATATGATAGTCATGTTGGTAAGCAACCGTTATTAGTTTAATTAGTTACTGCTTAAATAAATGAATTCTGAAACTAAATCAAGCATTCCCACTAAAACTAGTTTTATGGAATTATTAAGTAATCAACATTTTAATTGAAGAAATTAGTTTATAGTACCCAAATGTTGTTTTAATGTTTGTAAATATGATCTTACAAAAACATAAAATTATTAAACGCAAAGAAAAGTTAAATATTAATTTCTCATATAAGATCTTTATTAGATACAATTTTTTTGTTATACATACTGATACAAAATATAGATCGCATATCTTATGTGAACGTATGAAATATACTAACATACCATTGTATATTATTACGCTCAAACCATTTTCATTAATCAATTTAGTGATTCGTTTGCTGGTTATGATCACCAAAGTATCTTTTATTACAGTAGCACTCGTACAAACTATTTCGCTTGGAATGCCTGGAGCCTAAATTGTTTAGAGCCCATTAGGAATAAAATTAAGATAAAGTGCAATGGCAGTAAAAGATTAGACAAAAGTTTTAAGTGTGGATATTCTCAGCTCTTAGCAATTAGACACGGTGAATATTTTATATGGTAAATGATCCTTTCTGCTGTTCGTTATTGCCTACTCTTTTTGGCTGATTCATGTTTTGGTACTGTATAGGTTCTAGAATTATTATGTGTCCACTGTCCACCCATTTAAACATTTTCGCCTGATTACAATACTACTATTTTGATTTTACAAAAATGCGTCTACATTTATGATGTTTTTTTATTCTTATTTCGTTTCTGTCCTTTTTTTGTTTTAAATTAGACTAAGCAAACTTTTCAACAATAAAACCCTACTTGCAAAGGTGGTAATTAATTGCGTTAAACATGAGATGCATTCGAAATCTAGTTTTAAGCCGTTCCCAAAAATCAACAAATTTTGAATTACTTTTATAATGACTAAAACTACTTTCGTTCACAAAGTGTCATTATTAAAGGAACGTTACAGAATCTATTGGAAAGAGTTGACTCTCTTTTGATTGTAATATGCTGGTACTTATTATTTTCAAAAGCAAAATATTTTGGCTTTGTAGTTACATTTTACAGATATTTCGTCAATTTTATTGTCTCACAAAATAAAGAAACTCTGCTGTACGTTTAGTGTGGAAAGATATTTTCTTATGACTTTTGAATCAATTCACATTCCAACTTAACTCAATCAGCTGATGCACTTGACACGAACCCATCACGCTTGGTGTGTATCAATATAATGGTCAACGTTTGTGCCAGAATAAGGCCAGGCATGTTTCTTGCAACATAAAAATGATATTCTGCGTTTAAAGTATATTTATGCCTGTAAGTTGTATTATGAATTATCAGAAATTTGTTGTCATGTGCATACTGTACACCAATACTGTACCTATGTATGGAAATGCTCGCCAATCAATGTTATTAAATAATATCATCCACAAATATACCTATGTTCTTGGTTTAACAATTTTTGGAATTTTCTTTTGCTGAAAGAGTTTTTACGGTAACACAGTAATAATGTTAATATTTGGCATTTACCAACCTATTGTAATAACAATTTAATATTCACTGTAAAATAGATAGGTATACTTTCAGTAATATTGATTATTCTTTGTAAATTATTCTTAGTGAATTTATCTACATTAAAATACCATATTTATTTAAATAAAGCATTGTAATAAAATAAATAGACGGGGAAAATCCCCAACAAAAAAGTTAGAGTGAAATGATATTTTGTTTATTGCCGTTTTATTATTGATCATTGATATTTGGGACAACGAATTGATTCCGAATGAATGGAAGGAAGCAGTTATCATTCCCATTCACAAGAAAGGAGACAAAAAAGAATGCACCAATTACAGAGGAATTTCCCTCCTTAACTGCACCTATAAAGTATTATCAAAGATTTTACAAAAAAGACTAGAGGAGTATACATCAAATATCATAGGAGACCATCAAGCCGGCTTCACAAGAGGAAGATCAACCACGGATCAAATTTTTATATTGAAAGAGGCAATTGCAAAATATTATGAATTCAACAAATCCTTTCTCTGCCTTTTCATTGACTTCTCCAAAGCGTACGACTCGATCACTAGGAGAAAACTCTGGAAAGTAATGGAAAAGTATGGAATACCTAAAAAGTTAATAAATCTATCAAAGTCAACTGTTTCAGGATCTAAATGCAAGGTTAAAGTCAATGGAGAATTCTCAGAGGATTTTGATATAAATACTGGTGTGAGACAAGGAGATGGTTTGTCCCCATTGTTATTCAACCTAGCTCTGGAAGACTCTCTACAAGAACTACAAAAGCTAGAAGCTGGAATTACTATGGGAACCAACATTAATATCCTGGCATTTGCTGATGATGTGGCACTTGTGGCCAAAAACGAAGAAGAACTAAAAGTTATGGTCTCAAAACTCATAAACCACACTAAAAAAGTTGGCTTAAATATCAATGTAGACAAAACCAAGATAATGGAATGTGGAAGAGCTATCCAATTAAATAATAAGAATCATGTAGAAATAGAAGGACATAAATTTTATAAAGTAAATAATTTCTCTTACCTAGGAGTAATGCTGACGAATAATAATGAGGAAGACTCTGAAATTCAGCAAAGATTAAATGCAGCTCATAAAAGTTTATCGGCATGCCACAAATTGTTGAGTTCTCGCCTACTCTCACAGAAAACTAAAATCCGTATATACAAAACTATAATAAGACCAGTATTACTATATGGCTCAGAGAAATGGGTGATAAGCAAGAGAACTGAGAAACGACTTATAGTGTTCGAAAACAAGATTCTAAGGAAAATCTTTGGACCAACCTTTGAAAACGGAGAATGGAGAGTTAAGCACAACAGGGAGTTGAGAGAGTTGTACAGGGACCCAAATATTGTGGCTGAGGTGAGAAGTAGGAGATTGAGATGGGCAGGCCATGTGTTAAGAAAGGAAGAGGGATCCTTAGTGAGAAACACCCTAAACAACAACCCCGAGGGTAGAAGACCTCCTGGAAGGCCCAAGTTGAGGTGGAGAGATCAAGTGAGAAGAGATCTGAGAAGAATGGGAAGAAGAGAGGATGAAGCAATGGATCGTGCAGTCTGGAGGCAGTGTGTTGGCGAGGCAAAGTACCTCCTTGGGTACCAAGAGCCACGGCAGTAAGTAAGTAAGTAAGTAAGTCGTTTTATTATCTCTTAATCTATACGTTTAAATAGCTGGAGAAGGTCGTCCTCATATAATCAACAACTGTGTTAAATTTTTTTCAATTATCAATTTTTGTCTTGAGAAGGTATAACTATCTCGTTTAAAGTAAATATTTCATAAAATGCATTTCAGTTACTTACCCATATAAACTAGGACTTTTATAGAACAGTTGTGTAAGCAATAATTTATTTTAATTGGTTTTAGTACAGCAAAAAAACCTTTGTAGAACCAAACAATGTTATTTTCATCATTAGTATTTTTTATAAATTTAGTTTGCTATATTTTGATCAAATTATTCGTAACTATGTTTTCAGAATTTAAAATATTAGATTGTTATGGAATTTCAAATATTATGAATATAATTGAATATTAATTCTATGGCGGTATAAATAGCCAGGTGTACTACCCTTTGATCACAGCATGTGGCCTACAACCACAAACAATATCATGTAAACCACGCTTAAGGGATGGGAATGGCGTGGATCAAAGCAACCAAAACAATATTGTTTGCATATTGATTGAGATATAATATGAAATTACTATGCAACTAATGTATGTCATTTTCAATATTTTAATGGTGTCTGATTTTAATAGTATGAATGTGTTTTCATTACAGTAATTGTAATGCATTGTATGTGTTCAGTCAAGTTGCCTTTGTTTTTTGCATTAATTTTATGTCTTTGTTTTTAACAGTCCATCTGTAATTCCCATCACATTACCATATGTCAATTTTAATTGTTGCATTCATTCGTCTCGAATCACCGCTCATATTATCACGCATTCATTTTTCTCGTAATAAATTATACTCTTTTATACCAAACCTATCGACTTTTTCCTCTCTAATATAAATACACCGCACAGTATGGCTTAAATATTGCAGTATGAAATATAGGTAAACCAATTTGTCAAAAACTTTAAGTTTATAGGCATTTTAGGTTATTTAATGACAAGTTTCATGATATGACAAACTAGTTACAAAGAAAAAACCGTTTATTATAAAGAATAAACTCAGATTTAGTTTAGTTAAAGCTTAATTCGAGCTTAAATACAAACTTAGGGTTTAGCAATTGGTTTAAAAATATAAATACCAAATAATTGCGTTTAAAATAGTAGCTAACCTGCGGACAAGAAGAAATTTATGACAAGAAGAAATTCAATAACTAAGATCATATAGACTACTTATTAGTTTTCACTTCTTGTTAAACCGTATACATACAAACCACACCAATGCCCAATTGCAGATGGTTTTTGGCAATTTATTTAATGCTTATTCACGAACTACGAAGTGAAACAATGTAACCGTACGTATATTGAAACCACAACGTTAATACACCAATGAAAACCACACGTGAATTGAAACCAGGCTGTGATTGCATCGTCAAATGGTTTGGAAATCAAACCATGTTAATGCCGGGGTTAAATTTATAAACGAAGCAATTAACCAAAAATTATTAATGGTTCTTCTTTAGATAAACGAATGTAAAGAAAAATACCAACACGGTAAACCTGCAGAATAAGCAGATTACCATTTTGTCCAATTTAATTTTTGCTAAAATATGTCCTCAAACTTGTAAGATTTAATCCCTGTTGAAATAACATTAGTTTTAGTAAGAAATTATGTCACAAGGAAGGTAATTTTCCTACAGTCACCCGACGAAGTTGGCTTCCTTGTACTGTTTATAGTACAGAAAGCTGCTAATTGCTGCATATTTATACTTTGCCGTACGGTTTATACTTTGTCGTACGGTTTATACTTTGCCGCACATCAGGATTCCAACGAAACAACACAAAACAGCGTGGTTCTATTATGCACGTAATCCGTGTACGCTTAGAATTAGGTTGGCAACACTTAAAGATAATAATACTATGAGCAGCTGATTGACTATTATAACTACGATTTAACCTGTCATTTCGTGTATATAGTTTCGGTATTTCTGAACTTTCTGGACTTTTCTTTCAAACGTTTTTCAAACATTCCTACGATCTTAATAAACAAGAAAATACCTTTAAAGAATTTTTTTAGGCGCGGAAACCACTTCAAATTACAAAAACATACGGAACTATATTCTCAAAACGCGGAGCACATTTCTTGCCAAGGAAAAATAGCGGAGTGATACGGACCGCGGGTACTACTTTCTCTAGGGCACCATTTGTGTTGCCAGCTGAACCTAAAAGCGTGTTGTATAGTGTTTGAAAGACTAATTATTTATATGCTTTATAGTGACTGTAGGAAAAATATAATGTGTAACACGAGTGAAAAAGGCCTTTGCTGCACTCGAGATCATTCCGCACTCGCCTGCGGCTCGTGCGTAAACATTGCTCTCGTGTGCAGCAAAGTGCCACTTTCACCACTAGTTACACAAATAACTATTGTGTGTTTGTAAACATTGAATAGCTTAATATGAAAAATTATTTAATAAAATATATCCATAAACAAGCAAACTACTCCAGTTTACTTATTACTAAAGAATAACACGGGCATTTTAAAATTACTGGTTTTTGGAATTTTTCCCGTAACCAAACACGCTTTAAAGTAGTTAATCTTTTTTATGGATCTAGAAAGACCCTTTAAAAAGACCCCCTCTACTTATCCTTTCTCGTTAAAAGGGTCTAGGAAGAAATTACGAAATTGTATGTGAAATGTTTACACATATATTCATACATACACATGCATTTGAATGGAATGCCGTTTTTTGTATCTGGGTACATTGGAACGAAAGGGTAAATCTGTTCGATAGTAGTAATTTATTCCTTATAAACGGAATTCACTAAACCAATCTAACTCCTTAAAAAGATAGTAATTTATATTTTAAACTGAAACGACATAACTATTCTACTATTCTAAAAATGAATACACACACTCTAGTCAATGACAACAAAATACTCTACCCTTTTCTCTAATCAAAATGCACGTGTTATATGTTGCATATGACTCCTTGAAGAATTGTAGAATAACTTCATGTAGTTGGAAAGTTTGCTTTTATATGTTTTGCTATCTTACATAAGCTATAGACATTTTGCTAGGTAAATATACCTATCTCATACGTTCAACAATTAGATTTTGTATTCCTAAATGCCAAAACGCACTTTTAAAGTCTGTATTAAATTTGTAGTGCAAAACGAAAATACAACTCCTACGTTTTCGATATGTGTGTTATGTTCTCCTTTAAACCGAATCTTACGTATGAACAAAGATAAACAAAATTTAACTAATTAAATGTCTAGAGATCATACAGATTAGATTCAACGTTGATTATTCAATAGTGTGGAGTGCAACAAACAATTACATTCTGTAATTTTCCTCTCCACATATTAGAAATGAAGACTTAATCACTGGAGTGGTTCCGATTCAGTTAATCCATGCAATCAAGGGTGTAACGCGTTTGATTATATTATTTAATTGTTTACCTACGTCAAACAGGTTTGCCCAACCTCTGTTTCCATTGATTGATTTATATCGATACAATTTAGAATAATTTTACATTGCAAACGATAGAAAATGTTTATTTATTAGTCTTTCATTGAAAACCGGCTGGGCATTTTTCGACTACCTTAGTAGGCATGAGTTATACTATAGAATGATTGATAAATTAAGGCATTTAATCTCAGTGATCTACGAATACAGTTATTTTACACTCTAAATCTGAAATTATTTGAAAAAAAGTATTTTTTTACCATTGAATATTTACTTGCCTATGTAAGCTGCACTTTTCACGAAAATATAATTTTTTTGGCAAGTAAGCAGAATCAACCACAATGATGCATGATGCTTTTTTCGTTCAGTTAACAGTACGACTATCAATATAAGTTATATATGGGACGTTAACGGTTCAAATCCGCACTTCGCCAGAGCCTACTCAGCAGGCCCTTGTACTCTATAAAAGAACTGTTTGACGAGCCACTTGCCTTCCCCAAATGAGTCACATCCGTCAGTTCAGTTTAATTATGTATATGTAAACAGTGTTTTTGTATAGTGATCTAATGACGCAATCTATCCAACATTTCTTGGTCAACGATGAAGTGATCAAGTATTCAAGTAAGTAAGTATAAGTTAACTGGACTAGTGCAGGTACGCACGCAGGGCTTCTGCCCACAAGGTCTAAATTTAAAACTCGTCAATCACCACTGGATTAATGATTTGATGCTGTTACCTCTAGCAAGGCCGCACTAGATATACAGTATATCAAGTGTATACAGCATACGCAGTATATCTAGGGCGGCCTTGCCTCTAGCCTACGCTGAAGTGTAGTAAGGTTCCGGAGTGGTACCACACGCCTTTAAATTTGAAGGGATTACATACTAATTTTGGCTATATATATATAAGCGTACTAACTCTTAGTATTACATTGTAAACTTTTTCGAAATTGTATTTGAGGTAGAGATAAACAATTCAAACAGTTTTGTAACAGAGTAATAACTGATACCGTTCCATTTAATTAATCCTGTAAGTTCAATTCTAATAGTCAGACCAACAACGAATGCAATACAAGTCTAAATGTTTATATTTGTTTTCATCCATGAAAACAGTTATACATTTTTAAATAATGAATCATGGTAAAAATAAATACATTGAGGAACATAAACATATATTTATGGATAAATTATATGCTTATCAATATATTAAAAATCATTTTCCTGTATTAGTTCAGTTATATTTTATTAATGAACAGTAAAATTATCGTTGACCTTTATAACTTGTTTCCAGTAAGTAAAAAAAAAAAAGAACAGTTTGAAACATTTTTGATATTTATTCACTTATATCCTAAATATTTTCATTTGACTGGTTAAATATTACCACGCTTGTATAATATTATGATTAAACTATACGGAAGTAATCATATACAGTGTGTTAAAATAGTCCCGGAACGGCTTTATATTTTTTTAATTACATAGATACGGTGGTACAGTTTTGTATCTAAAACCCTTAATTTGATTTAAACAAATACGAAAGTCTATAGTAACACATTCAAAAAAATAATAAAATGGTTCCTACTAAACTAGAAATTTATGTAAACTGTAACAAAAAGTAACAGGAACTACTTTTATATGATAGGGCAGATATTTCAACTTTTATTCTGGCAGTTGTGAATTAGGAAATAAAAAAGGGTTGATGTCACCCACTGAAACATTTATACATACTTAGAGTTTCACTTGCTAAACTTGACCAAGTCCAGAATTTCCCCCTGAAGTTTCTTAATGCAGCAAAACAGTGAATTTTGGATGATAAAACCATAAAAACTAATTTAATTAACCTAAACCAAATTCGATTAATTTGTTTATCCATGAATGTTAATATACGGGCACATGATAATTACAAAATACTATTTGATGTTTTATCAGTCCAACGGCAAAACAACCATTACATAAAAGAGTACAAACAAATGGTAGACTGAAACTCAACTTAGGTAAGAATAATTAGATTATATTCTAAATACTAAAATGCTTCCAAAAGTGCAACAAAAACATACAATAGACTTAAAAAATATAAAGCTAAATAAAAAGTTATGTCAATGTAATAAAAGGCTTTTTCACCACACTATCATGTTTTTGGCTGTATTACATACGTTAATTGGTGGCCGAAAGTTACGTTTTGCTGGCGATGCCAGCTGTCCATAATTTGGGGACCGAGCAGGTTTTTACAGGCCGGGGCCGCAAAATCAGCTGTCCGCTTACTTACTTAAAACATGAATGCATTTTAAATACATAATCAAAATCCATAGCATTTCAATAGAATTGTGTTATTGTCACCGTTGCCTAGCAACTATATATTTTTATTTTTGCTGATTCCTCAAATTATTTCTTCACATAACCTTAAAGTTGTAGTTGTGTTGACTATCAGTGTGCATTATTATTGTGGTGAATAGTGGTAATAGGGTATAGTGTGGTGAAAAATAGCGTTCGTACCACGGACCGAAATGGTTTTGCGGCTCTCGATCGATTTAAGTTCTCGACTTCGTCTCGAACTTAAAAACTATCTCGAGCCGGCAAAACCTCATTTTCGGCCCTAGGTACGAAATATACTATTATCGTATAGTATATTGCTGTGAAATTACACCATATTCAATGACCATACTAAATCATGAAATACCATATGGATAAGAATGTTAAGAGCCCTAGAGTAGATCATTGAGTATATTATTTATTCAGATAGCGTCAAGTATGGCAGAAGGTTATCTGGGTTTGCAGCAGATCGACATTTTAATATTTAACTCATGACGGACCATAATGGGCTCTCAATGTAGGGATAGGATACTGTACACGATTGCCACTTCGCTACATGTATAATATTGATCATAATACTCATGTAAGAGCATCTGCAATACAAAAAAAAATATTTTCAGCAAAGTGTACAGTACAAGGGTGAGCTTTACTAACAAGTTTTTCGGCATACACGGGGATCCGAACCCACGGCATCGCTGTCAAGAGTCATTGACTCTCTAACAATTTGTTTAATGGTTTACTTTAGTTTTGAAAATGTATACCTACGTCAGTACGTCATGTAATAATACGCTGAATGGTTTGAATTTAATTTTTTATGCATTAAGTTATATTTTCAGTAGGACTTTCATTGGTTTTAGATAGTATTCAATGATTACACCTTGTGTATTTTTGAATTTGAGTCTGCTAGTATTGTATTAAGCTGTACTGGTTGCATACTGTAATCATTGTGAGTTTCCAATATTAAATGCCTTACACTGTAACAGTTGGCCATTCAAGCAAACACCTTCACACTCTAGCAATCGTCAATGATAATAAGGAGTGTCAACTTTTGCAACCAGTCCGATGGGACTGCAAAACACACTATTCTTGATTGCAACAACTAGGTACTATTACAATGGTCCTATTTGGTCTAAAGCAGCCAGGTGATGAATCAGACGCTAAAATTGAGCAAGTACAGTTTTAAACCCAACCAACCTAACCCTAACCAGTGGCTGAGGCAGAATTGAGCTTAGTCATTAAACCCATTGGTTAATTACAGTCTCTGCTGCAGCTGCAATCATTTCTCTGGCTGAAGAAGACATAGTCCTAAACAGCCTCAGTCCAGTAGGGTTTCAGCTTAACGAAGACGGACGACATTGGACAAGCTCCTGCACCTCGTCAATGACACGGGTATATACCTAGTTAGTTGCCAAGGCATGCACAATAAACTCCGGTTGACGTGCAAGAACCCTGAGTCTACACCTCTTGTAATACAATTGTATTAATCTATTTGCATTTTGTAGTTTTTCCATATTGTGTAGTTTGAAAATCGGCATAGTATAATAGAGTAAAATATAAGAAATATTGTACAGATTAAAGGCCAAGTTAAAAAACTAAATAATACCCTTCATGTACTAATCATATTCATTCACCCCTATATCATGGGGTCTTGTTTCACATGCATGTAGCGGCCATTTTACACAGTAACGCCGGTCATAAGACATGTCTGAGAGATCACCTGGACGTGACGAAAGGTGTAATGGCATAATCAATGTTAACATTGCTGCTATCAAATATGCATAACATCTCACTACTGCGGAACTTCTTAACCGAAACAGAACGGAGAATTTATGTATATGGAAGGTTAGTTTACTTTAGATTTTTCGACTGTAGGGTTTAGTAAAAAACTTAAAATCTACTCAAACCTTTATTACAAAGTATAAAAATGATTATGTATGTAATTTACTGTTATAGAAATGGAAATATAACTAATTAGTAGCAACAAGGTCCATCGCTTAGTTTTGTTTGCATTTGATTGTAATTATGAATAAATCCTCCTCATTAGAGGAATTAATTAAAATAAATGGCAAAAGGTAATGAGATGTGCGTTTCTATTATTTCATGACTAACTTTATTTATTACATGAAAACTGCATTTCTGAATTGAAAACTATAACTGTTTAATTACATGGTTTTTATTTTGGTTGAGAAGTCTGACGTGATGATATTGACCATATAAAAAGTTTTGATAAAAATATTGTTAATACTGATAAGTTATAAAATACATTGTCACTTCTTTTGCTGTTATGGGATAGTGCATCTTCATCGCATTCAACCTATAATCATGACAAAAAAAATCCATTCGAAGTTATCATATTTAGTCAATTTGCTTATATTGGCTTCCTGCAAGGTATAATCATTACAAACAATGGACCTTTATAGTCTAGGTTATAGAACACGGGACTCCCACCACAAAAGCGTGGGTTTAATCCTTTTGATGACCAGTGGAATTATGTCATTTAATTTGCCGTCACTTGTTGGGTTTAATCATAGGATTGATCTTAGGCTGGTGGGTTTCTATTTAGACGAAAAATACTGACGATCTCAGACGAGAAGAAAGATGAATAAAATGACAGAAAACAATATACAAACAACTTCATAGTATAAAGTTAAATAAAAAATATTATCATTTCACTACCAGGAATAAACTGAGCAATAACTTGTTTATTTTTCAATCCAGTTCAAGTGTTTTATACAACAGGGTTCAATATCAGATAACGTTCTGTATCGAGTTATTATTACTGCTATTATGATACATGATACAGAATAATCCTTTGCTTAATTGCACGGCAACCAAATAGCTTAATATTATGTCCAGATTATTCTTTTCATATTTTCGTTTGGAAGTAACACAACCGCCTTTAAAATGTTAATATTTTACAAAATTGATGGTTTAGTTTAGTTGCAAATATGGAAAGTACTTGCTAAACAACAAGCTGCAAAGTTTCCTTGTAAAATCTCTCATAGTTTATTGTTTTGGGCAATTAACAACAAACCTCATTAACACTTACATAAACTCGGCTTTAGAACATTCCTTCTCTACAAGGCTTAGCTGATCCTGAAATATTAAAAGGTAAAATAATTCGAAATATATTTTAATTTGATATCAGGAAATTATGATCCAAACAAATTTAGAGGAATCAAACATTTTTAAAGTTTGTTAAAACATAAAGGAACTAATGCAAACATTTGGATTAAGCTTTCAATCAAGCAGAAAACATTTACTCTGGAAATTCAATAAACAATAATATTTATGCAAGTAAACATTGTTTACTAGGGTGATATGTTTGTACTTAGGGATATGTTTCACCTACATATTTCTAGGAATATTTCAAACACCCCCATTTAAAATTACTTTTAGCAACTGTAAAGCCAGGATAATGTAATGTTCCTCAACATTTTTAACACGCTTGCTTGCAGAAAAGTCTTTGAATGCTGATTATAATTTCATCAAAAAACCTGTAGCACCTTGAGGTTAGTTTTGTTGATTTGCTAAAACTTTGTCATATTAATTTATATTACGCTATTTTACATTTTGATTTTGCATCTCTAAAAAAACTATGTTAAAACCATTTTCTTTTGGTGGAGGGAAATTAATATTCATTCTTTAATGAATTCATTCTTCATTGCAGGCATATGGATAGTATTTATTATTTTACTTTTGAAGTAGTATACCAATTATATCTTTGTCTAAATTATTCATTCAATTCAGTATTGCAATATTCACCAAACTTAATTCAGAACCTGCAAATGTTTGATGATTTAATAATCATTATTAAATCAAATTGTTAACTTTAGCCATTACCTAAATGTAAATTATCCTATATCATGGTAAATTATCCTGTATTAAAGTACAAATTTACTTTATTATTTGTCTTACAATTATCATAACTTTTATGTCCCGAATAATAAATGTCATATTAGACTTATCACTCCGAGGGATTGAAGCACAACGTTGTTCCACTTCCATTTCATTTTATTAATAATTTCTAGAAATAAGGTTATAACTTCTTTTATTCACATGTTTACTTGAGTGGTTTTAAAAGCCTCGCAGAAACAAACTTGTAATTCCAGAAATGAGAAGACAGAAGTTAAATGCGCGGATATTCTCAGCTCTTGGCAATTAGACAAGGTGAATATTTTATATTGTAGATCATCCTTTCGTGTATTTTGCCACTTTCTTCTCAGAATCATGTCTCTATGTAAAAGGGGTTTCAACTAATGTATAAAACCTTTAACTACTTTTCTAATTAATACCCCCGCCGCAGCAAACCTGCAGTCTAAGCGAATTTCCATTTGACTGATTGGATTTTACACTGAAATGTCTACTTAAAAATATAACATTAATTCCCTATTTAAATAGAATTAGTTTAACAAGTACTTAGGTTTGCCGCATCAGGGAGGGTATAACTGTTTTTTTTTAATGTTAATAGTTAGTAAGAAATAAAAACATTTTCCAAATTTGATCAAAATATAATCATAAACAAGCAAACTACAACAGTTTACTTATTCTCCATAAGAATAACATAGAAATTTTTAATTTACAATTTTTTGGAATTTTCTCCGTAACCATTAGGCGCATAATAACGCTTCAATATACTAAATTATTTGTTTTTTTAAGCTCTACAAAGTGGTTTGGAAAGAAATTGCTAAATTTTATGTTTTTTGGGTCAAAAATGGGAAAAACATATTTTTACCCCATAAAACCCCCCGTAAACCCCCGTTCCCATAGTCCGATCAAGCTGGATCGCGAACTCGTTCGAATAAACGTAGGTTTACACGTTTGTACCAAATTTCATCAAAATCGGATCATTTTTGCTCGAGTTATCGTGCTAACGGACATATATATATATATATATATATATATATATATATGAATTTTAACGGATGGTGTTTTTGGCCTCTAGGGACCTCAAAACGAAAAAAAATCGGTCCCGCGTCCAGGTCTTACCATGAGTACTAGGGTTTTAGCTTATTCCCTATATGGGAAATTCGAGGACATTCATTAAGGAGCCTTTGGTGCATTTATGTAAAATAACCAGGTTATCACTACAGCTGCTTACGTTGTGGTTGTCATTCATCAGGTGTTCAGCGAACTTAGAATGTTGTGTTCGCAATTTAGGCTTGGGTAGATGATCATTAAACCTTTTTTTGAATGAACGACCTGTTTGTCCGATATACATTTTTGGACAGTCGCTGCAGGTTAATTTGTACACTCCAGTCACAGAAAACATAGGCCTACTACTATAGGGTTCCAGTATCCTCTAGGCTATTGGAAACTGTAGATTTCGAAGTACGTGGTGAAAATTAACTTTTACATATTATGTAGGTCCAGTTAAATACAGTTCACTAAAAGTCAATTTATTGTTTTATAGTAATATTTGTTTACCCTTATTTAATGTTTATGAAAATAGAAGAATTAGTTAAGAAACTAACACAATTTTATTCATTTTTCTTAAGGATAATACATTTTCTTTAGTCAGTCAAAGATACTAATAAATTATTTTTGTAAAATAAACAATAATATTATTAAACTGGAACTGGCTTTAAGGGTAAATATAACGTAGAAACTTGGTCTTAGGGAAGTGAAATTATGGATAAAAAAAAAACAATGGCCGACTATTTCGAATGGGTTCATGTTAGTAATGATTGTAGCATAGGCTAAATATAGTTTGTTGCCAATCATTCAACACTTCATCGGATTATTCTTTGTCAATAGGAGAAATGAAATACAACTCTTATTTCATAGAACAGCTTTATGTGGACAGTTACCGAGGAGATCATGGTGGTGGTTTGTTGCGATGACTTCTGTTTGTAAAGTTTGTAGTTAACTAATTTCCTCACTAATCTCAATGTTCTACCAAAGTTGATATTATTAATTTACTATTGATGTGTAACACAAAAATGAAAAAAAAAAACGTTTGTTTATCTAAATAAATTATTTGTTGTATATTTTTTGCTTGGTAAAACAGGAAATTGATTTATAGATGACTTAAGATACAATAAAATTTTAACTCTTTGCTGTCCTTTAAGGCACGTAAACATTGACTAGCAGGCACCTATTGAAACAGCGTGACAATAGCCTTAATTGTTCAGTAAAAAATTGATTAAGATAATTGAATATTTTTCTCACGAAAACCAAGGAGAGCGTATACTAATATAAAACTATCATTGCTTAATCGACATTTTTCAGCTTTAAAATAAGGAAAAGCTTGTTGAATTGTACTCCTATTTGCAACTTTTCTATCCTCTGAGGAATACTTTATGTAAAAAGTAACTTCCATAATCATAAAGGGCTTAATGTAGAAATGTAATGTAAAGTAATTTTGCCGTCGTTTTCCCCTCCTCTAC